CAGGAATATGACTGCATATGAAGCTGCCCAGTATTGGTACCAGTGCGGTAGCCATGTTCAGTCTGTTATGGGAAAGAGAAGGCTTAGAGGGGACCTGATTGCAGTCTTCGGATATCTGAAGGGCTGCCACGTAGAAGATGGAGCATTCGGGTATGTTGTAGGGCGATCTTTCGGCTATGCTCCTGCAGAGTGCAGGGGGTTGGACTGGATGACCTGCAAGGTCCCTTCCAACTCTAACATTCTATGACTCTATGATTCTGTGTCAGAAATAAAAGCAGTGTCACGCCTCGACTAGCACACTTACGATTGCAGCATAAGCTTTGAGACAATGATTAGCTGCCAGCCCCCATGTCTGCTGGCAGAGAGCTTCGAAGGTCGACCATGCGTGTCTGTGTGTTTTATATCTCACAACCCCTGCTGGCTCCAAGCCATGATGACTAAAGGGAACCTCCACATTCAGAGGCAGTGAACCTCAGAATACCGGTGCCAGGAGACAGCACGGGGGGGAAGGCTTTGGCCTCTTGTCCCGGGGCATCTGGTTGGCCACTGCGTGAAAGAGAGTGCTGGAGTGGATGGACCCCTGGTCTGATCCAGCAGAGTGCTTAAAGGTAAAGGTTCCCTTGCACGAAAGCCAGTCGAGTCCGACTCTAGGGTTGCGGTGCTCATCTCCGTTTCAAAGCCGAAGAGCCAGCGCTGTCCGAAGACATTTTCTGTGGTCATGTGGCCGGCATGACTAAACACCAAGGCACACGGGACGCTGTTTCCTTCCCACCGAAGTGGTACCTATTTATCTACCTGCAATTTCTTGCTTTCGAACTGCTAGGTTGGCAGGAGTGCAGAGTGCTTACCAAAGGAGAAATCAGGATGAAACAGTCTTTTGTGACAATACAGGCTGATTCTGCATTGGCTTTCCCTTCCGTTGCTTTCACTTCCTTTGATCATCAGGTTTTATGGTAGCCTCCACACTCCGTGCCACTTTCGAGTTCTTTGCTCGTTGGATTTTATTGCAGCTTCTGCGTTTTCTGGCCATTCAGGGGTGACTTCGCAGCCTGCCCCAGGTACCTGAATGTGGTTTTGAGCAGCACTTTTTCCTCCCAGTTGAGAAAATGTGGAGCAAACGCTAGACGCAGAATCGCCCACAGTATCTTCAAATCAGATTAAGTTTCTTGAACAGTCAATCGTGACCTACATCACCAATGCTGATTTCTCCACGCCTTCTGCCCCTCTGTATATCACACCTAAGCCGAGCACACCCGCTATTGTCGTTCACCTGCTATTCTCGTTCACTTGCTAGTGTCATTCGGCATCTGAAGTCACGCCACTCTCCAAGATATAAGGACAGATCGACTCTCATTCTAGCGGTATCTGAAGAAGTGAGCAGTGGCTCACGAAAGCCCACAGCCTGCCACAAATTTTGTTAGTCTTCAAGGTGCTACTAGACTCTTGCTCTTTTCTATGCCCACTATTGTCATTTGCCTGCTAATGTCATTCGGCATCTGAGATCACTCCACTCTCCAAGATATAAAGACAGATCGGCTCTTATTCTCGCTGTATCTGAAGAAGTGAGCAGTGACTCACGAAAGCTCACACCCTGCCACAAATGTTGTTAGTCTTTAATTGGCTACTGGACTCTTGCTCTTTTCTACAGTCATGATTATAGTGGGGGATGACTGGAGGAGGATAATCTACCCACAGCAGCCATTGCTGTCAGCAGCTCTAAGTCCCAGGGTGAACGAAGGACCCTTTGTCTAGCAATATCTCCTCTTAGTCCACAATGCTTAAACAGCAGCCACCGTTCACTGAAGGTCACTGTAGTTCAGAAGAGGAGGAGGAGGAGGAGATTAGATTTATATCCCGCCCTTCACGCAGAGTCTCAGAGCAGCTTACAAACTCCTTTCCCTTCCCCTCCCCACCACAGACACCCTGTGAGGCAGGTGGGGCTGAGAGAGCTCTTTCCAGAACTGCCCTTGAGAGAACAGCTCTGACAGGACTATGGCTTGCCCAAGGTCATCCAGCAGCTGTGAATGGATGTATGAGTCTGGGGTCAGCCTCCCCTGTCGTTTCACCTCGGGGGCGAGCTAATTCAGACCTCCAGACAGGTAGCAAGATCCTCTCCTCTCGAGTAGGTCTTCTGTCCCTGGGTTCCCCTCCCGGGATCAAAGGAAGCTCTCACTGATTGCGCCGTCCCGCACACTTGCTTTCTCCAAAAGTCAACATATCTTTATTTAAGAGGAGCAAAGATTAAAAAAACCACAGCTCCAGAGATAAAAACACCGGGAGAAATAATAATATTTAAAACACTGAGGCAATGTACTGAGTGGGCTGAAGGAGTAGTTCTCAAGCCGCTAGAACGGAGACGGTCCTAAGCAGAGTGCTGGGAAGTTGGAGTTATTCTCAACAGGAGGTTGGCAAGGCTATAAGGCGGAAGGGGTAGTTCTAAAGCCGCTAGAACGGAGACGGTCCTAAGCAGAGTGCTGGGAAGTTGGAGTTATTCTCAACAGGAGGTTGGCAAGGCTATAACCAGGAGAAAAGGAGAACGAAAAGTCCTTTATCAGAAAGCCGCCTCGGCGGAAGAAAACTCGCTTTTTTTCTCCTGGACTGTTGTCTCTGTTCCACTGCCGGCCTGGTCAGTAACGGTGCGTCAATTAGCTGCAAGTGCTGCTTGAACAATTGCCAAGTTTTCTTATATCCTCCCTAAGGGACCCAGATGGTAGTTTGCTTCAGCAACTTAAGGGGGACACACCACAATACCAAATAATATTTCTATACAGTGGAAGAGTGGGGAACCAAACCCGGTTCTCCCAGATTAGAGTCCACGCACTTAACCGGTACACCAAACTGGCTCACACTACACCAAAATGGCTATAATTAAGTTCACTGTAATTAAGATACCACCCAGCAGTCTTGCCGGCAGGCTTCCGAGATTCCTGAGCTGCACAGACCAAACACGGAAGCACACCAGATGTCAGGAAGATGAACTATTACTTTATTTAACTCCCTTGTGAAGGAATAGCAGCAGCCATGATGGGAGAGGATGGGGGTATACAAAGCTAAAGGGGCTGGAAACGTCATGGGATTCAAGAGTCCTCCAAGTATAATCTGGGTTAATCCAGGCCCGCTGGACTGTGTATTGGGTTTCAAAAACGATGGAGAGATCTAACCCTTTTTGTACATGAAGCAGAGGTCATTTCGGGGGGGGACGCGGTGGGCGACACGTGCCCCCGGGGA